ATTGAGATTTTACATTTCCAGCAGGATTTCCTGACCACTGTTCAAGATGATGGTACACAAGAAGACACCAATAGTCTGACAGCCTTTGGCAGAGATCTTCTTTGAACACAGCATGTTGCACGTAGTAATCCAACTGAGAACTACTGTCTACTGCCATTCTTCAGACAGCAATAGTGCTGCTTTGACTTCTTCTCGTTCATTGAGAACTGCTTTCTAAACACTGTAAAATAACTTTGATAATTGCAGGGTGAAAAGGGAGAACCAGGAGCTATCATTACTGCTGATGGATCTTTAACTGAATTAGTAGGAAGAAAAGGAGAGAAGGTGAGCTAACACTGTGTTGTGTTCCTCCAGAATGTTTGGTGGCCATGTTACCAGCCACCTCTGCTCCATACTGCAGGAGTTCTCCTTGTCATTGCTCTATGTGTATCTGTCCTCAGGGTGAAGCTGGAGTAGTGGGACCAGTGGGACCAATGGTAAGACATTTCCAAAGATGAGTGGATTTTTTGTATTTTGCTTTGGTTTTACAGGTAATAGTAAATGTAAAGGTAGGTTGTTTTAGGTTTTCATTCCTTCTGAGTAGGGATGATAAAGAGCATTCATGCTTCAAGATGATCATTGCCCTTCTGAGAAGAGTATGTTTGTTACATATGTAGTGCTGTAGACTACTGACTTGATTCAGAATTTAAATTCTGGTCACACAAATGTATCAGTTACTATCTAAACAAACAGTGAAATATCATTAGAGCTAGAAATTTACTTAACTTAGCACTCTGAGTGAACTGGATTTGTTTAGCTCTGAAGAAGCTCTAATTGCTCACTTTCCCTGCCTGAAAGGGAATTGTAGAACAAAGTCAGGGCCTTCTCAAAGATGCACAGGAAAGATAGGAGTACCAATGATCTCAAGTTCCAGCAAGGGAAATTCTGATTAGATATAAAGAAAAAAATTCACAGTAAAAGTGGTTAAACACAGAAATACATGCTCAGAGAGATGGTGGATTGTGCAACAAGGTGCTGAGTGGTATGACCTAACTTCAGAGCTCGTCTTGCTTTGAGCAAGTGGTTGGACTAGATGATCTCCAAAGGTCCCTTCCAATCTAAATTATTTTTATGATTTACAATGAAACAACTGATTATATCAGGCTCAGTTTCTGTTGGTGCCAATAATCTGCAACTGCCTTGGATTCTGAGGAGGCTGCAAATCAGGCAGTGGTCAGACCATGTACTAAAATCAGGGTTTAGAGGCCTTCTTTCGGGTACTTGGCCTGATATTTTTGACTGGACACAGAATGTTGTATGGAAGCACAATAAATCAGTTATAAAATGAGAACAGTTGCCCAGACTCAGTAGTGTTACAGCAGGAATTAATTTCTTCTAGTGTAGTATTCCAAAGATCAAGGATATTGAATGTTTCTTTGCTTCTGCTTTTGATGTAGTCTGGTCTCTCTTGTGCCTAAGTGAATATTAGTAGATGTTGTCATTTCTGTGCACCAAGGTGTGTAGGAGATTGTCACCAGTTTCTGCAGTCTTTAAAACTCTGGTCTCTCTTGTGCCTAAGTGAATATTAGTAGGTGTTGTCATTTCTGTGCACTAAGGTGTGTAGGAGATTTTGTCACCAGTTTCTGCAGTCTTTAAAAGGGGCTAAGTGGGTGTGCTGAGTAATTGCTTTCTTAATTACTGTGTATCAGAATACCTTGAGGGGGCTGTCCTCACTTACCAGAAGGGGACTTCCTTTTCTCTTCCTTGAATGACTGCAAGATGAGTCTATCCTTTCCTCTCAACATAGAATCATAGAATAATTTAGTATGGAAGTGAACTTCAGAGATCATCTAGTCCACACCACTGCCCAACACAGGTCCAGAGACCTGCCCAGTCGAGTCTTCAACGTCTCTTAGGATAGAGATTCCACAGCCTCTCTGGGTAGTACATTCCAGTATTTGACAACCTTTGGGATACAAAAGTTTTTCCTTATATTTGCTTGGAATTTATCCTGTTCTAGCTTGTGTTTGTTGCCTCATCCTGTTTCTGTGCACCCTTCAGGACATGTCCTATTTTTTTTTTTTTTGCCCCAAACTCTGTGTTTACATCTCCTTTTGTACTTGCCATGAGATGCTTCACGCAGTTCAGCGTGCAGACAAGGCCCCTCAGAGGAAGTTCTTGTCAGTGCTGGTGCGAATGATTACGCTGCAGGAGAACTGGGCACAGAGAACCTGCCTCAACACTTTGCTCAGGCAGTTCCTCTTCTGACTGCAGAACTCTGGTTTGATCATTGCTGTTAATGGGGATGATTCATTCTGGTGTTGTCCCGCATTAAAAAGTCCTTTGTAGTCAGTGGGAGTGCTGTGCTGCAAAAATACACAGACTTAGAGAACTGGGCCAGAGCCACTGAGCCACAACCTACCATCGTTTGTAGCCCAGTCAGTGGGAGTGCTGTGCTGCAAAAATACGCAGACTTCAGAGAGCTAGGCCAGAGCCACTGAGCCACAACCTATCATCGTTTGTAGCTCTCTGGAGACGGTACAGCAGAGGGCTACAAAGATGATTAGGGGTCTGGAGCATCTCTCTTATGAGGAGAGGCTGAGGGACTTGGGACTTCTTAGTCTAGAGAAGAGAAGACTGAGGGGAGATCTGATCAATGCCTATAAATACTTAAAGGGTGGGTTTCAAGAGGACAGGGCGGTGTTTTTTTCAGTGGTGCCCAGTGACAGGACAAGGGGAAATGGGCACAAACTTGAATATAAGAAGTTCCACCTCAACATGAGGAGGAACTTCTTTCCTGTGAGGGTGGCAGAGCCCTGGAAGAGGCTGCTCAGAGGGGTGGTGGAGTCTCCTTCTCTGTAGACATTCCAAACCCACCTGGACATGTTCCTGTGTGACCTGCTCTGGGTGGACCTGTTTTGGCGGGGGAGTAGACTAGATGATCTCCAGAGGTCCCTTCCAACCCCATGTCATTCTGTGATCGTTATGATGGTTCTGTTCCACTTTGCACAAAGTAAGACTCTGGTGCAAGAACATCTTTGAGGTAGCTGGGGACTCTAACCATCCCATCCCTCTGTGTTAGGGCTCAATGAACTCATACACAGGTTTCTAGAATTTAAAATAAATTCCCTACTCATGTCTCCCCTCCTTTTCGAGACTTCAGCTGGACAGAAGAGAGATTCTTCTCCTACAGAGGAGTAGTGTTTTGCTGACCTTTACTCAGCACTGGTGAGGCCACACCTGGAGTATTGTGTCCAGTTCTGGGCATCTCAATACAAGTGAGATCTCGAGGTGCTGGAGCGAGTGCAGAGGAGGGCAATGAAGCTGGTGAAGGGCCTGGAGCATCAATGTTATGAAAAGTGGTTGAAGGAGCTGGGACTGTTTAGTTTGAGGAAGGGGAGGCTGAGGGGAGAGCTCATCACAACTACAACTACTTGAAAGGACACTGTAGAGAGGTTGGTGCTGATCTCTTCTCACAGGTAATTAACAATAGAACGAGAGGGAATGGCTTCAAGCTCCAACAGGGTAGGTTTAGACTGAACATTAGGAAAGAATTTTTCACAGAAAGAGTGGTCAGGCATTGCAATAGGCTGCCCAGGGAGGTGGTTGAGTCAGCATCCCTGGATGTGTTTAAGAGCCGTTTAGATGTGGTGTTGGGGGATGAGGTGTAGGGGAGAACTTTGTAAAGTAGGGTTGATGGTTGGACTCGATGATCCCAAGGGTCTTTTCCAACCTGAATGATTCTATGATTCTATGAGAGGTGGGGATATTCAGGAGGACAGTACTGTTAATAGCAAAAGCAGAAGGGACAGACTGAATCCAGCCTCCTGCCACAGGGGAAATGTGAATCTTTCACCTGCTCAATTATCCTGTTCGCTGGCAGGGAAGCAGACACTGCAAATTATTGAACAGGAATACAGGTCCTTAATAAGAACCACGGTGTCAGTCTGCCCAAATCCACTCTCTGCTGTTGTAAATGAAATTTTCTTTTCTGGTGAGCAGTCTCCTGTTGCTTCTTCACTTCCTTCTTTCACTTCTAGCTGTGACTGCTGCCTTCTGTCTCAGGGAGTCGCTCACATCTCTCAGGCGCGGGCTAGCAGTGTGGTCAACTTTTACTTAGGGTTGGTTGCTAGTTACCCTTTGAAGGAAAAGTCATGGTGCAAACAAGTGTTTGTTACCTCTAAAGTGATGTGCTGAAACGGTGGTAAGCAGGGCAAGAGCCAAGGTCTTTCTTCCATCGACACGGGTCTGTGTTAACCATCGCATTGCAGGTGGCAGTAGGAAGTTGTGACAGTCATCACACTGGCAGCACTGTGATTTCTCAGCATTAAGCACGTCAGTTGTCACGTGTAAGTGGTATCTGCCTGAGATCTATAGACAGAGATTATTTAACCAATGATGCAAGAAGGGGTGTCTCTTAACATTTCACCGCCAAGGTCTTTCTTCCATCGACACGGGTCTGTGTTAACCATCGCATTGCAGGTGGCAGTAGGAAGTTGTGACAGTCATCACACTGGCAGCACTGTGATTTCTCAGCATTAAGCACGTCAGTTGTCACGTGTAAGTGGTATCTGCCTGAGATCTATAGACAGAGATTATTTAACCAATGATGCAAGAAGGGGTGTCTCTTAACATTTCACCAGACTGGGGAAAAAAAAAAAAAAAAAAAGGAAATGAAACCAGAAAGGTTGATACTTATGTAAAGATGATGTCTAGACCCTTGTGGTTATGCTGAGTTTCAGGAAGCTGACAGCAGATGAAAGTTTGTGGTGTCCTCGGGTTTTCTGCTTTATGTTGATCACTTGCTGCCTGCCTGGAAGCTGTGAGCTTGCAAATGCCCAGTCATAGACCACCCCTGGAGTACTTTTCTGATGCAGCCTCCTTGCCCTTTTTTTTTGCAGTCACTTGTATCACTTGGTGAGGCCTGATGGGCCAGTTGCTCTTGTATAAAGAAGGATCTGTTCTGTTTCAACTGTATCAGCCCCATAAACCCACATACCCAAGCTGGCAGGAGGCATGTAGAAGCCTGGCACTATATGAATTCTCAAGATGATCCACAAACTTTTCCTCAGAGGGCCTGTTTCAAAAAATAATTAGAAAAACAACCAAAAAGGAGATGCACAAAGTATGCACCAGTAACTGCCTTTTTTCTACTGATTGATGCTATCAATCAGTAGAAATTGATGATGTCAATTTTCCTTTGATACCTGGTGACTCAGTTTTGCTTGCACAACCTACAAATGACTGAGAATTCAGACTTCATTTCAAATAACTAGTCTTTTCCCAGCCAGAGTTGACTGTTACATGCACATCTCAGCTTCTGAGATCACTCAGCAGAGCAAGTAGAGAGGACATTTTGTGTGTTCTCTGCAGACAATCACACACTGATTTGTAATGCAAATACAAAACTGTGCCTCTTATTCTAAATAATCACATGTATGTCAAAGATATGTTCCATGTATTCACCATAATCACATTTTCTTTTTTGCCCAGGGACCAATAGGACCTATTGGACCAAAAGGAGAACTTGGTTTCCCAGGACGTCCAGTACGTATTATGCTCTCAAGTAGAATAAAAATAGAGGAGCTTGCTTCTGACACATACTACACTGTTTCTACTTCAATTTCAGGGCCGCCCAGGACTGAATGGACTGAGAGGTGTGAAAGGTGATCGAGGCGAATCATTTAATGTAAGTTCTTATGTATTGCAATTAGTTGAAAAAAAATCCTGTTTAAATATTATGTCTGATGTATATGAATTCCTTTAAAATGATTACAGGACTAAAAATCTGAAATGACCTAGAAATAATTACATGTTTCTGCTACTTTTCCTATCTGGTGAAAATCATTGAGAAGCCAACTTCTGGGTCCAACTGGACAATTCTTGTAAATATAGATAGTTGTATCAGCCCCCAGGTGTAACAGTTACATGTGAGACTGGTTCAAATAGCAAGTGATCTGGGATTGCCAGTTCTTACTATATATTTCAAAGACCTCCTGATCCAAGCCATCACTATGACCCATCGTGGTGTGAAGACACTGCCATAGGCTCTTAGCTATCTAGCCCAGGTACAAACAGCACTTGAGCATATTATACTGAAGTGGTATCTACTCTACTAATGAGGACACACTTGCTAATAGCTACTGCCTGCTTTAATTGCCATGTACACGTATGCAGAATAACGACCACCGCATAGATGATACCGTATCCATGCCCACCTACAAGCTGTAGTTATGGAGTGACAAATGATGAACTAAGGTCCTCTTCTGGCAAGTCTGTTCTTATGAAAAGACTTCATACAAGTGGTCTCATGGCAAACATGAAGACTGGAATACACAACCATAAACACTGCTGAGCATAAGCAATAAGTTTCCCAATGGCAGAGTAAATTGTGGTGGTGTTGGGGCAATCTGTGGTAGAAAAATTGGTACCCATACCACAACAGCAGCTAATAACATCTCATCTGCATCAGAGACATGCTGGAAAAAAAAAAAGAACAAGGTTATTTTACTGTGTTAGCATAGAAATCATAAGGTAGGGATCAACTAGGCATCAGAAGAGGTGATCAGTATCACTGTATCTCAGTAGGGCCCTCTTAGTAAATGAATTCAGTTGTACGAGTTCTCTGGTTCTACTTTGTTAGGGGCAAAAAAGAATACTGCACTCAAACTACAAAACACAAGTTTATGTTTTCTATCTGGACAATAAATATAAGTGAGATGATACTGATTTATCCAAGTAACAGTGGGGAAAAAAAAAAAAAAAAAAAAAAGGAAATGAAACCAGAAAGGTTGATACTTATGTAAAGATGATGTCTAGACCCTTGTGGTTATGCTGAGTTTCAGGAAGCTGACAGCAGATGAAAGTTTGTGGTGTCCTCGGGTTTTCTGCTTTATGTTGATCACTTGCTGCCTGCCTGGAAGCTGTGAGCTTGCAAATGCCCAGTCATAGACCACCCCTGGAGTACTTTTCTGATGCAGCCTCCTTGCCCTTTTTTTTTGCAGTCACTTGTATCACTTGGTGAGGCCTGATGGGCCAGTTGCTCTTGTATAAAGAAGGATCTGTTCTGTTTCAACTGTATCAGCCCCATAAACCCACATACCCAAGCTGGCAGGAGGCATGTAGAAGCCTGGCACTATATGAATTCTCAAGATGATCCACAAACTTTTCCTCACAGGGCCTGTTTCAAAAAATAATTAGAAAAACAAAGCAACCAAAAAGGAGATGCACAAAGTATGCACCAGTAACTGCCTTTTTTCTACTGATTGATGCTATCAATCAGTAGAAATTGATGATGTCAATTTTCCTTTGATACCTGGTGACTCAGTTTTGCTTGCACAACCTACAAATGACTGAGAATTCAGACTTCATTTCAAATAACTAGTCTTTTCCCAGCCAGAGTTGACTGTTACATGCACATCTCAGCTTCTGAGATCACTCAGCAGAGCAAGTAGAGAGGATATTTTGTGCATTCTCTGCAGACAATCACAGACTGATTTGTAATGCAAATACAAAACTGTGCCTCTTATTCTAAATAATCACATGTATGTCAAAGATATGTTCCATGTATTCACCATAATCACATTTTCTTTTTTGCCCAGGGACCAATAGGACCTATTGGACCAAAAGGAGAACTTGGTTTCCCAGGACGTCCAGTACGTATTATGCTCTCAAGTAGAATAAAAATAGAGGAGCTTGCTTCTGACACATACTACACTGTTTCTACTTCAATTTCAGGGCCGCCCAGGACTGAATGGACTGAGAGGTGTGAAAGGTGATCGAGGCGAATCATTTAATGTAAGTTCTTATGTATTGCAATTAGTTGAAAAAAAATCCTGTTTAAATATTATGTCTGATGTATATGAATTCCTTTAAAATGATTACAGGACTAAAAATCTGAAATGACCTAGAAATAATTACATGTTTCTGCTACTTTTCCTATCTGGTGAAAATCATTGAGAAGCCAACTTCTGGGTCCAACTGGACAATTCTTGTAAATATAGATAGTTGTATCAGCCCCCAGGTGTAACAGTTACATGTGAGACTGGTTCAAATAGCAAGTGATCTGGGATTGCCAGTTCTTACTATATATTTCAAAGACCTCCTGATCCAAGCCATCACTATGACCCATCGTGGTGTGAAGACACTGCCATAGGCTCTTAGCTATCTAGCCCAGGTACAAACAGCACTTGAGCATATTATACTGAAGTGGTATCTACTCTACTAATGAGGACACACTTGCTAATAGCTACTGCCTGCTTTAATTGCCATGTACACGTATGCAGAATAACGACCACCGCATAGATGATACCGTATCCATGCCCACCTACAAGCTGTAGTTATGGAGTGACAAATGATGAACTAAGGTCCTCTTCTGGCAAGTCTGTTCTTATGAAAAGACTTCATACAAGTGGTCTCATGGCAAACATGAAGACTGGAATACACAACCATAAACACTGCTGAGCATAAGCAATAAGTTTCCCAATGGCAGAGTAAATTGTGGTGGTGTTGGGGCAATCTGTGGTAGAAAAATTGGTACCCATACCACAACAGCAGCTAATAACATCTCATCTGCATCAGAGACATGCTGGAAAAAAAAAAAGAACAAGGTTATTTTACTGTGTTAGCATAGAAATCATAAGGTAGGGATCAACTAGGCATCAGAAGAGGTGATCAGTATCACTGTATTTCAGTAGGGCCCTCTTAGTAAATGAATTCAGTTGTACGAGTTCTCTGGTTCTACTTTGTTAGGGGCAAAAAAGAATACTGCACTCAAACTACAAAACACAAGTTTATGTTTTCTATCTGGACAATAAATATAAGTGAGATGATACTGATTTATCCAAGTAACAGGGAGACTGAGGATTGGTATGTATTCAGTATCTTCACAGGAAGAAAAGATCAGGTACTAAAAATTGCTTATCCCTCCAGAGAAAGGTTTAAATAGAAATTTAGTTGCTGGAAGGTGAAACCAGACAAATTAGACAAATTCTATTTGGAAGAAAATGACAGAAAGGCTGGCTAGCCACCAGCAGAAAATATTAAAGTAGATTTTCCATTCTTCCACATCTTCAAACAGTGTCAATGTTGATTGTCTGCTTTAACCAAACAAAAAAACTATTAAAACAAGTGTAACTAGATGAAGTACACCAGGCCAGGAGATTAAAGCAAACAAAACAGGTTACATGTTCTAATAGTCCTTCCTGGAGTGCTCAGGGAAGATAAAATCTAATGGATCTCTAGTTATTGATGAAATGACCTGTGTCACCTCACAGAAGCTCGCATTGATGTGGAGTGAAAGATGGACGTGGCGTGGTGCCAGGTTTTTAAATGACACAGTAAAGAGTTGGCCATTTTTTTTTTTTTGCAACGGGCAGTCACACCTCCACCTCCACCCAAGCAGGGTGCCTTGAAGGTGCTAATTAGTGTGTAGTTATCTGACTGGCATTTGAAAATATATGAATCTCAGCAATCTTGAGAATCCCAAACCAGTCTCGATACCTAATTTTCCTTGGATGAGAGATCTATTGCCTTTAATTTTCATTCCAATTTTTAGTGCTTTGGGGTTTGGGCTTTTCTTTTTGCCTTAGGGAACAACAAAATCTTAGACCGTTTTGTTCTCCACAGAGTGCTTGAGGTTTAATATTAAAATTCACCTGACAGGTTGGTCCCTGTAACTGAATTCTCAGTCTCCCCTCAAACCCCTCAAGCTCTCTGAGCCCCTTGGCATTCTTTCTGTAGGCTCATTTGTATTGCATATGAAAAGATATAATATCTTCTTTAATTTTCTCTTATCAGGGCCTTCCTGGCTTGCCTGGACCCCCAGGGCCTCCTGGACCTCCAGGACGTATAGTTTATATCAAAGGAGTAAGTACAACTGGGGATCAGTTGCTGGTGTCTCTCTGTAGCAGAAACGTGCTGCTCTAGGAACAGCTTGCGAAGAGAAACATCAAAACTTGTTTCAGGCAACACAGTTTAAAGTGGGTGACCATGCTTGTGTGCATTGGAGAAAAATCTCTTAACTGGAGCCACTGTCCTGTAAGAGTTTGGCCCCTCACACACAGTCCTGTGAGAGATCCCAGGCAGCAAGCTGGGTTCCCTGCCCAGGAGGCGCCGATATTTCTTTCCAGGCTTTGTCTCATTGTCTCTATTAGGTCAGTTTGGTGAGATATCTGCTGTGTTATACCTACATGCATTGAAATAACTCCTCTTCCTCTTTTCAATAGACAGTTTTCCCGGTGTCTCCCAGACCTCACTGCAAAATGCCAGTAAGTCACACACAGAATCTGCTCCTGGCGAGATGCATGGCCATGACAGTACATAACCAAAATAGCTAAGATACATAACCACGGTAGCTTTGCAGCTTTTCTCCCCTGCCTTCTGCTTTGCACCAGAGATGTTTTACCTATTCTTCAAGATAACAGATTTTCAAGTGTTTAGATACCCAAAATGAGCCAGATAAAAATATAAAACAGAACTAGAAACTCTAGAACCTTTCATTTAAAGCACTTTGATTACTTGGTTGTCCCAATACTTTTAATGCCTTTCCAAGCCTGTATTTCCATAGTTTAAGAGTTGCTTTGGGGAGTTGAATGTTTCTATATACATGTACACACATTTTTCAGATAGATACATAAATACTGTCTCCATGTTTTTATGTCTTTAGCTGTTTTCAGTTTCTCTGTCCAAAATAAGACTTGTTACGTATTTCATTGTGGCATGAAAGACACATCAGGAAAGAAAGATTGTGTTCTTTATTTGATCCTCAAGTGCAGTCTATTCACATATAAACATTTATTATCTGGAGAATGGCAGCAGGTGAAGCTCTGCCCTTGCCTTCCAAAGGGAATGACAAAGCCCCCATTACCTTCAAAGGAACTGCAATTTAACACATAGTATCAAAAGAAAGGAGACGAGGGTTATATTTTCAGAACACACTGATGCCATTTTTGTTTAATGAGTCATGGAAATTACATCCTACAAACTGCAAACAGAGTTCAGTCCTGGAAGTACTTTCCCTAGGGCGATATTGTACTCTTAAACTGTGGGTTAGGTACTTGGAAAGCATTCTGTCTTTGAGAGCCACAGTCCTCTCCTGAGTAGTGTGGTGTGCAGGATGGCTGTTCTACTTTTCTGTTAGGCAGCAGAGCCCAAAATAGCATTGTGCCCCCTCTTCCAAGTTCCATTCCAGTTTCTTTTTCACTTATTTTAGAGAAGCAGATCTTGACTCACAGTGTGCTAGAAGCATTGATACTCATCGTCACCCTACCCTTACTGCTGAAGAAAGATGTATCCCAGCTTATGGATCTTTCTGTTAATGAATAGTCATTACTCTATGGTAATTAGATATTTCTAAAGTTTTGGCCTACCACCTCCAGGTACCATCTTTTTTCCTCATTGAATTCCTCCCTTACATCTTTCCATTCCTACCATAGAACATTGTATGTTAATCATTTTTCCTCATTGAATTCCTCCCTTACATCTTCCCATTCCCACCATGGAACATTGTTGTATGTTAATCACGTGTCCGTAGTCAGGTATGGATTAGTCAGTCTCACCTCAAATCTGACTGCACGAGGCCCTGAGCAGCCTGATGGAGTTGATCCTGCTTTGGGCTAGACAATCTCCAGACATGCCTTCCAACCTCAACTCCCCTGTGATTCTCTGTGGAATGATTCAAACAATTCAAGCCTATTTTAGCTGAATTTCAGCTAATAGGAAAAGTCCCATTTCGAGAAGATTACAATCAGTGAATAATAGGAGGAACTTTTCCGTGCACAATAGAAACCTGTACTGATAACCACCTCTTTGTGCATCTGAGTGTGCTAGATAGATTTGTGCTACATTTGTGAATAATCTCCTAAACCTATCCGAGTTTATAGATAAGAAGTCTGCTGTACATGCCTACATAAATGAATATCGATAAAGAACTACAGACTGAACCCCACACGTTTTCCTCATGTGAACTGAACTTCTGAAGTTAATGGAGCTATCCATGTGAGTAAGACTTCTAAGAGCTAATATTACAGGAATAGCCAGATTGGGCACTTTCAATTTATTTTTTTCATACGCTTGATTAGATTCATATAAATAGAACTAGCTGTTACTAAGATCTGTCCCCCTTTTCAAGCACTGTGCCACGTTTTAATTCCTGCACTGTCCCTATTTTGCAGAGAGGCAGTAGAAGTAAGTAGCGTGCCCGCTATTAAAGGTGGCTGGTGTCAGAACAGGACAGTATAGAATAGCTTCTGCCTCCCAGTTGTGGTCTCAATGCATCAGGAGCACAGGTCAAAACATCAGACAGTAGGCTTAGCTATAGTCTGATGAAAAATTTACAAACACAGTCTGTTATCTTAGAGTCCAAAATCAAATCCATCACTGCTTTCAAATGCAGTGATGTAAATTCAGAATTGTCCCTGGAGAATGAGTTTTCTGGTGTTTGGTGTTTCGCTGGCATGACTGAGAGTAGGATTTGCTGATGCCTCCAGAACGCATGTCGTTACCCCCTTGCTGAAAGCATGTTGCATGTTAAAGAGAGCACAATCCTGAAAAAAGCTTGATCAGCTAATACTTGGACCTTGTCAAACTGGAGATATTATAATATTTACTGTGACAGCATGCAAATTTTCCAGGCTTTTCAGTCACACCAATTAATGCACTTCCATTGTTTAACGTATATGGATAATTTTTAATAGATTTCTCTGTCTGTAGGTGAGCACTCCTTATCCTGGAAATCAAGAAGCTCTTCATGTCCATGGTGAGCAATTCTGTTCTTGTACTTTGGTTTGAATAACCTTTTTTGCTTTATTCTTAGTTAAGGTCTTTTGCCTGCCCCCCCCCCTCCTTTTTTTTTCTTTTTATTTCTGTTGTATAACTGGCTTTATGGGGAAAAAAAAAGGGGGTCTCACTTCTTTTTCTGATGAAACTGTAAGATCTGTGGTTCTGTGATTGATTCTGCTCTTTTTATACTTTCAGCTTAGGTAAAAGCTTGAAAGTGGGGATTTTGACTATGACAATTCTGTTTAAATTTTGTTGGTTTTATTCAATTAATCATTACAGTTCCTTTTCTCTAAATGCATATTAATTCTCAACCCAAACAGTAAATCCTAAAGTCACTCCAGCATGCTTCTTTGGTTTAAGAAGGAAAAGTCACCATTTACATACAGTTTTAATCCCATTTTAAGATCATTGTAGTGGTTTGGCCATTCCCTTCTTGACCTAGTACTCCACCAGATAAGCACAAAGAGGTCACTCACTGTGCACACCAGGTATTAAAATCAGTCCAGGCCTGCATCTGTGATTCAGTGCTTTTTACCTTCCTCAAAGACATCTTAGAATCATAGAATCATAGAATGGTTGGGGTTGGAAGGGACCTCAAAGACCATCGAGTTCCCATGTTCCTGGGCATTAAATCACTGCTCCCATTACTATGCAGTGGAGTCTGGAGAGTTTACAGTTTAATCAGATAGGTCAGAGCCTGCGTGGCAAAACCGGTGCATGCGAAACAAGTTGAATAATGCAGCGGTGGTAGATGTTACATCAGCTCCAAACGCTGGGGCTTGGGGCTGTTTCTGGAGGAAGAGATGGCTATCTAGGGACCAGTTCTTTCATGTGGTCCAGCAAGTAGACAGTGGGCTGCTGTTGGCAACCTGAACCACTCCTCTCCCCCAGCAGTGACTGAGTCACTTACAAAGACCAAGCCACTTTGATCCAAATGGAAAAAGAAGGGAAGAGAAGAGGAATCGTGCAAGGGATGAGGATAAGGGGCATGAGCGGACGTAGTAAGTGGTAAAGGAAGATATCTGGAAGAAGAGGAAGTCAGAACTTGGTTGTATAAGCTCTGTATTCAACTTAGTATTTTAATATGATCTAAAATACTGATGACTGGACTGGAAGGAGCCCTCTGGCAGCTGGAAAAAAGGTTGGGACATTAAAATGGAGTCCCAGAGCATCCACAGGGAGCAGCCAGCAGTCTTGTTGTGATCCAATAGTACAGAAGGGAAAGGGAGGTCTTCTCAAAATCGTGGAGGAAATAAAGTCAGTGGTCTCCCTCCTTTCATTTAACTACTCATCATAAAAATGTATTCCTGTTTATTTAGTATACTTTCAGAGCAATTTTGTGGAAAAAAGCAGTAGTGCTGCCTCTAATACGCAGCCTGAACCTGGTTCCTGGTTTCCATGTTCCTGGGCATTAAATCACTGCTCCCATTACTATGCAGTGGAGTCTGGAGAGTTTACAGTTTAATCAGATAGGTCAGAGCCTGCGTGGCAAAACCGGTGCATGCGAAACAAGTTGAATAATGCAGCGGTGGTAGATGTTACATCAGCTCCAAACGCTGGGGCTTGGGGCTGTTTCTGGAGGAAGAGATGGCTATCTAGGGACCAGTTCTTTCATGTGGTCCAGCAAGTAGACAGTGGGCTGCTGTTGGCAACCTGAACCACTCCTCTCCCCCAGCAGTGACTGAGTCACTTACAAAGACCAAGCCACTTTGATCCAAATGGAAAAAGAAGGGAAGAGAAGAGGAATCGTGCAAGGGATGAGGATAAGGGGCATGAGCGAGAAGAGGAAGAGTGCAAGGGATGAGGGTAAGGGGCATGAGTGGACGTAGTAAGTGGTAAAGGAAGATATCTGGAAGAAGAGGAAGTCAGAACTTGGTTGTATAAGCTCTGTATTCAACTTAGTATTTTAACATGACCTAAAATACTGATGGCTGGACTGGAAACCTGCCTGGCAAACAACTCTGAAGATGTCACAGTTGGAGAGTTCAGCTTCAACTGACAATTAGGAAAACTGTCTAAAACTGCACACCTGAGAGATTGTGTGATTGGCCTTCGTGCAACATAAAATGAGGCCCCACTGTTCTGTCAACAGAACTCCTACTGTCCTCACAGCTGGAGGCTGAGTCACCAGACAGATCATGGGGAAACCCATGGGAGTATGACCAGCTTTCACCTCTCACGGCTGAAAGACAAAAGAGAAGGGTGGAGAGGAACTGTCTGGAAGTTTCTGTTGTAACATGGAGCTCTGAAAGGGAAGAAGTGCATCTCATTCTGCTGTATTTATAGCCATTCTGAGCAACTAGAAGAAGGGGAAATGCTGCAACTATTTTTCAAGCTAAAGCTTTCTTGCCAATAAAGTCTTTTATTTATTTTTTACTAATAAAGTCTTATTTATAAGTGGCACCAGGTCATGGAGTGTGGACTGGGTACCCAAGCCACAGATTGTTTCCATGCTTGCCCCAGTGAAATTCACAAATGTAATCAGATCAGGTTATCTTAATGATCCACTGACTCCAGCATAGATCCCAACTGACCACAGGGGCTGAAGATATCACAGCCAGGGAAGCATTGAAAATTACTTCAAGATCTGTATCTTGTATTAGCTTGTCATTGTAATTCAGGACCCTTCCTACTCATAATTCAGAATAAGACCACTTCACCTTAACCTTCAAAAGTAATTTTTACCTGAAGAAAGTGGCTATAAGATGTTACTGTGGAAGAATGATATTATTTTACATGAATTTTGCAAAGATATTCACAATTACTCTGTCAGAACAAAGAGAAATCAGACCTAAGAAGTTTAAATACTCAGGGGTCATTTTACCCAGATATTTGATAGGGTAAGTTTACCATGCAAGTTGAATAATATCTGAAAAAACAGAGGGTTTATCCAGATGCATTTGGGTGCAATTCTACCCTTAGCTCAACTGGATGGAAAATTACTCTAAAAGCATTCCTGTCCTTAGAGAACATTTTCTTCATTATTAATGCTTTTATCACATGAAAGAACAACAAACATAGCATTTTTGACATTCACAGTTGCAGATATTATCATTTGTTGGTTTGTTTTGGAGTCTGGAGATAGTAGAAGATGTGGTATCAAACACAGAGCCATAACTCAAGAACTGTTTCTAGAATTATGCCAATAATATTGACGAATGCAGTGAGAGCAGGTTTGTTTAGATGTCCTATGAAGCTGCCCCATCCCTGGAGGGGTTCAAGGCCAGGCTGGATGTGGCCTTGAGCAACCTGGTCTGGTGGGAGGTGTCCCTGCCCAGGGCAGGGGGGTTGGAACTCGATGATCTTTGAGGTCCCTTCCAACCCAAACCATTCTATGATTCTATGATCTTAGGCTGGGCAATTAGGAAAAAGAGAGTGAGAGATGATTGACTTGTAAGAGAGAGATTGTCTTGCACATGTTGGGGTTGATAAGAGAGGACAATCAGGCAGCCATTCAGTGTTCATGAAGACAGTGAGACAAGCATATAGGGGCTGGAGCTACGTGTGGATGGAAAGCCTGCTCTCACTTTCAGTAGTTTGGTTGTCACTGCTACGGTCTCTGCTGTTTCCAAGTTTGAATTTGTGATGCTTTTATGGCAGGTGCTAAAGCCAACAGAGATTCCTGGGGGCTGCACAGTTCAGCGAACTTAAAAGGAGAAAAGGGAGACAGAGGCGCTCCAGGACCACCAGGTATATTCACCAGATACATCATTGATATCCTGTGAAGGAATACGTGTTTAACTTTAAAAGTAATTCAGCAAAGTACTCTGACATCTACCCCTGCAGCCTTACTGGCCCAAAGACATATACCCAGTTCCTCACTGGCTGACACACAGAACAACAAAGCCCACAATGTTATCAAAAATGTCTTCTGAAAAGAAGTATCTGTGCTGCACGTTTGTGGGTATTATGAATGTGTTAAGTATAAGAATAGATTTTGAAGTGTAACTGGTTGGTCAGAGACTTTTTTAAATCTTAGAAGGACGTTGTGTCTATTTCCTGAGATACCATTCTGTTGTCAATCTTTTTGAGCCTAATTCAGTGCTAATTTTGAGCTAAAATTCAGTGCTTCCCATTTTGGGGTAACACACTTTTGCATTCTGAGTTCAAGGCAGTCATTTGTTGGTAACGATCCCACTTCCAGCAGGAGGTGGAAGTAGATGATCTCCATTTCAGTCAACTATTTAATATTTTATTCTTTGTGATAATCATGAAAAGTCTGTCTGAACTAAAAATACCAATTTACTTGCGGCAGGAGCATCATAACAGATGTTCCTCATCAAAGAGTTACTTTCCTGTATCAAAAAAGTTGATATTCTAATCTTGCTAATTCTTACACATTCAAAAATAGTTACAGAACAAGTATCTATTTGAAAAGATTTCAGTTACAAACTCTTCCTTTTCTATACATTTTTTGAAATCTCATATACTGAGATAAGGCTTTGGTCAGTGCCTGAAATCATTTGAAATAGAAGCAACAGAATATCAAATTAATGTTGCTATACCAGATTTATAATCTTTGCCCTCTAATGGGTCAACAATAAATACAAAACTACATCTATATGGATATTTCTGTCTTTATTCTAAAGACACGGTTCTGTTGACTGAAGATGATGTTTTGGTTATTTTTAAGAGGACATGTGTTAGTTCTAATAAAATCTGTTTTCTTGTCTTGTCCTCATTAATTTTTATTCTGATCAATATCTAGTGCCTTAAAATAAGTGATTAGTGCTTCCTAGCCATCAGTAAACTTGTAAGAAGAAGCAGCAAAAAGCATTCCTAAACAGAAATTAAGAACATTTTCTCTTCTGTGCTGGTTTATGCACCATGAACATGTCTGTTCCCTCACAGGGTCTGTATTTAACGCAAATTAATGTCCTAGGTATTTTTGCCTGTACCTGATGATTTCAGGTGCTTCAGAAGGAGGGGATTATGAGAGGATTATGCTTATGTTCTTGTAAAACTGCAGCTAGTGAACGATGGTGAAAATAACATGAGAATTCTGGTTAAACTGAGAACTGAATTCACCTTTCTCCAAAAATAATGTATTTATTCCTTTGCCAACTGAATCATATGTTAACTAGGACCAATTCTGTTGATGCTCAAAGAAATGTTCCTGTTTGGTTCTTGCTCACTGATGTACTTGTTAAAATATTATTTCATACAAACCAGTTCTCTAGGTCTCACAGACATCCATATAATCATTGACAGTGAAAATTCAGAAGACAGAAGTTGCAAGGTAGTGGAACATGATTAAAGGACGGGAATTTTTCAAAATCTTCTCTGAGGCACAGATGGCAGGAACTCCTTCCACTACAATATCTGTCGAGTTCCAGCAATCAGAAAAGCTTTCTGAACCATGATACTGGTCCAGGCAGTGGATTTATTTTTTCTTTTCACAAAATGTCTCCTCTGGAACCTTACAAAGAGGCTCTATTATGGGTACCATGTGAAAATATGAAGCCAACACAAAAAGTGGGTAAATGGCAGGGTGCAGTTTATTTAGCTATTCTGTATGGAGGCAGGTGTAGTACATGTCCAGAGCACGGATGCTGTGTTCCAATCACATGTGCAATGTTCCAGCACAACCCCAGTGTTTCTGGCTGGAGGAACACAATCTGAAGCCTTGTAAGAAAACAGATTTAGCAAGAGAGGAGGAGATTTCTCTGTGTCATAGTCTCAGACCCGAAAAAGAAAACTGAAAAAGAAGTTTCACCCTTTTCTCTGTGAATCCTGGAAGGAATGGAGCTAATGGAAAATTAGTGATGTAGAGCAAGTTGGCTTCTCGCTGGGCAGGAATTAATAAGTGAGTTCTGTTTCTCCAGGGGCTAAAATTTAATTTCTAGATCAGATTCCAGATCTGAAAGCAGCGTGCCTTCCCCTTTTCTAAAAGAAAGGTCACCAAAGTTCTGTGACCTTATGTTCGTTGGGAGGGCATGATTTTGCCATTGATTATGCAAAAAGTGCTGTTAGTCTGTTTCAGCAACAACTGAAATAAATTAAAATGTCTGGTTTATCAGTAGAAGCCACACAACAAAGTATGTTTCCCTCTGGCTAGTGTTAAGATCCCTAAAGGTCCTCCCAAAAATTGCTTACCAGCCCTCCAATGAATGTCTACAGAAGAGAACTGAACTAGGTTTGCCTGTTGAGAAGTCATGTCAGGCAAACTTCTCTGGTTGTGTGTACAAGCAAACTAAACAGACCCAGGACACAGGGGAAAATCGTCCTGCAGTTTAATTGTTCCATGTTTCCTGGGCTGTATTCAGCCTACAACAAGTAACCCTTTCCCACACTGTGGGATGCTCTGGGGGATGGCTTAAGCTGGGGATTAGTTCAATAGACTGTATGGAGAAGTCTCTCATACTTCAGGAGTGAGGAGGATGGTTTAGCTGTGTGGGTGAAAGTTGTGCCACTTCACCTCAGGGCTGAGGAACATGTCTAGGTAGGTAGAGCCTACTGGTTCCCTATCACAGACTTTTGACTTCCACTTTGAGGGGTGATCTCTCTCTTCCTTATGTGCCTTGCCCAGGCCTAGTCTACTTACTGGTCATCCTAGAAAGACCCCAGATATTGCCCAGCGTAGAGATTAATACTAAGGAACATCTGAGAAGGACACCTACCATTCTGTTCCACCTGCCTGTTTCCCCATGCCCTCACATGGATCAAGCAAATCACTGCAGCGAGCTGTAATTGGCAGGGTTGGAATAAAATCAAAACAGCTGCTGTAGTGGGAATATATTTCTGTCCCAGAGTACGGATGTATACAATGTCTACTTGACTTAATTGTATCTGAGATAGCATACTGAGTTTTGAGTCCCGTGTTTGGCATAGAGTTGGACACAAAGATCTCAAAGACGAATTGGTTGAAGAAGATGCTTTGAGCTGTTATGGGCTGCTGTAAAACAATCTTTTTTTTCCAAGTTTTTGTCAAACAGAGACTATTTGAAAGGTTTTTAGACTTTTGGTGCTGGCTTGGCAGCTTTGGATGACCACTGTTGGCAGACAACACAACACAAGTGGTCTAACCATTGATATTGGTGTTGGGTTTTGACGCAGAACAATGTCAAGGAGCACAAGGATCAGCAGATGACATTATCACCGTTTCTTTCTCTTGTCAGTTCTGGTCCTGTCCTTGCATGAAAGATCATGCAACTACTGATTGGCCACCCAACTGCTGGCAAAACATATGGAAAGCTTTTCTTTTACCTTGGTCTCCATCAAAGGGGTTAGTTTGGATGGTTCTCTTTCCTCTTCTGCCCAGCTGCCATTTTTCAGAAAATGGGGAAAATTTCATCTTCAAGCCTTCTTTGCTTTCAATTTTTTCTGAAATTCACAATCAGATTCAGAAGTTATTAAGGTGGAGGAGTGACAGACAAGATAGAACATGTAAGCCTTGATTTGTTAGGAAATCAAGCTAAAAATATCTGTTAGATTTAAAGGTTAATGTTATTATTGTAAATATTTTTTTCTTTAAGCTCCTAAACCAGTAATATCCAAAGCAATGCTTTTAAAAAGAAAATTGCAGATAATTATTGTACTCTCTTATTATTGTACTTGATTCTGTTTTCTTCATATTTCAGGTCCACCTCTGCCTCCATCATATTTCAGCCACTTTATTAATAGCATCAAGGTAATTATATCCCATTTGTGTTTGAGTTCTGTTAAGCTATTTTTAAAGTGTACTTTACTATAAATTAAGCGTGAAACTTGGTGAAATATACAAAACAGGTAACAGCATCAGGAATCACAAACGATAGTAATTTTTTTAAGTCAGCTGCATACACAAGTTTATTACAAGTATAGCGGTAGCAGATGTCAGTAGTATATAAAGATTACTTTTGAAAGAACTTTGTTACTGAGGCTTTTTACCTTCCTGGTGGTATTAAAGTGAGTCATAATTCACTGTTACCTAATATAAGTTGGTATAAATCATCTGCTATAAATGAATGCTTTTGTTTCCATGCCAGCTCATGTAAGAGACATCCATTACCTAAAGGGCTCCTAGAAAAATTCAGCAACAATTAACACGTGGGGGGGAAAAATCACTTCTGTGTAATACTATTTATCCTTTAAACACACTGAATAAAATAAGTTAAAGTGATGGAAATGACTTTTCCTGGAACCTCTTACAAGCAAATACACCCATACCTTCATGTGTCTGGTCTCTTTCGGTTCCATTATTCTCCAGACTGCGTCAGGTGACAAAAATTAATAGCAATGCAATATTATTTTAAATGTTTCTAAGTGAACGAGGCTCTTTATCAGTAGAAGATCTGAAAAAAAAAAACTGAATCAAAATATTGTTTAATAATGCCACTAAAACCGGTGCATTGTCAGTTTACTTGAAGGACTCGTGCCATCTGGTTTTCAGATTTTGTTTCTGCTTGTCTGAGTGTCCCTAAATTATTTCTCTGACATAAAGTGCCCCGTGTGTGCATGGCAGAGCTGATATAGCTTCTTTGATCTTACAGTGTCTGTAGCTTTACAGCTTTAGCTACAAAGAACTAATTTTTCAATTAGTCCCTCATCTCTGCAAAATGGTGTGCCATGCAGAAAGCTTCTTAGTCCTGTTTACTGGGAAACTAAAAAGAAGAGTCAGAGGAGGAGCCATACATAGCCAGGTCTACTGAATTTCTGCAGCTACCTGCCATTCTTACTTTGCCTCTTCACAGGTTTATTTCTCAGAAATGTGAAACAAAGTAGATCAAAAAAACTTGAAAGAAAAAAAAAACAGCATATGAACAGAAGGAAATAGTTTGAGGAGGAACCTACAATTGCTGTGACTCGTGTTGCACAGAGAGATAATGACTTAGTATTTAAACACTTCTTACCTGTCTGTTCCCCAAACTAACTGATAATCAATAGTGAAGGCCAGGAGAAGACATGTTTTTCAAAGTGTCTGCAGTTTTCATGGTGTTGTCCTTCTGTTATCTGGGTACACAGCCCTGCTCTTCTCTCTCATCCCGTGCACAGTGATCTTCACTCGCCACATACTTTAAAATGAATCTGTGTGTTCCATGTCATTCTTGCTTTGCTTTTCCCTTGATGATGGAGATCAGCAGAAAGCCAGGCTTTTGTGCTTCCTCTGACTTTCTCTCTGCCACCAGCTACAGCACAGAACAAGGTTTTGCTGGGTAGAATTGCAGGAAACAGCAACAGAAGCATTTTCTCTGCCTCCACCTAACCCATCCTCCCCTAGCCCCTGCCCTGAGAGAGCCTCGCAGCCTCAACTTGTTCTGTCTCACTGAAGAAGGAAGAAATGTCAAATACATTTTAAGCAGATGCTTTTCTTTATTAAGCTCAGATATATCATGTAACTTTAAAAGATGGGTGCACAGAGTTCTGATCTCACTTCAGCTCAATGTTTTCTCTTTAAAGGGTGAAAAAGGAGACAACGGAGTCACTGGTGTAAAAGGAGAAAAAGGAGAACCGAATGGAGGGTTTTTTCTGACAGGACCTCCTGGACCACCTGGAAGACCAGGATTAGTTGTAAGTCATGCAAGTTACAGCATAGGAATAGTTGTGGGTACCCATTGTTTTAATTTAGAAGGCACTAAAAAGAGACAAACATCAAGATGATGCTAAGGACTATATAAAAACTCATATGTCAGCCATTAGGAGACTACAAGAGAGTTGCATGAGACGTAAACACAGACACTTCAGTTTTGTGCACAGAATTAATTTGCTATGAAAAACTGACATAATGTTGTGCTCAGCTGTCTAATACATCAGTATGTAGATTCATGCTATTAATAGCATTTCAAATCAAAGCAGTATAAATAACTTCTGATGCTAATACTTATATCCCCAGAAAGGCCAAAATAGGCTGTATAAAGTTAGATGGAGGCTGACTTGAAAATTACTGGCCACCTAAATTATTAATCTTTTCTGTTCCAGTAATCCAAAAACATGAATGAAAAGTCTGGTGTGTACCCATCTGGATCATTCCTATAAAACTCAGCTGCTCAGTCTCTACCTAGTTGTTTTATCTACTGGCAATTGCCACCACAGCTGCTTTGGAATCAAATGTGGTTTATCCCTGGGATCTGGTAACAAATGTGTTGTGACAATAGAGTAAATTGCATTTACTCTATTGTCATGTTCTGTGCCAAGGAGCATGAATGGATGGGTGACAGCTGAGGATGAAGGGTTAGGTTAGCAAGCCCACCTTCAAAAATCCCCCTGACGCTATTCCACATGGCTGAGAACCATCTCCCTGTTTAGAAATTGTTCCACAGGAACAAGAAGGAGTTGGATGGCACAGCTGAGATCCATCAGAGACTGAGCTCTCCTAGCCCAGGGTCCAAAAACTGTCCCATGTGTGCAGACCAGTTTGAGTGCAGGGAGCTCGAGCCCTCCTCATTCAGGATGGAGACACACTGCTAAACTGGAAACAGAGAGAGTTGGAGCCTTTTTAATCTGGAAGACTGGCAGCTGGCGAGTTTAAGGGATATGAGCTGACATTTGATCACAGGAGGGAGAAGACAACATTCGTCATGAGACATACATCCTGTGTAGACACACTTTATGTTAAAGCTTTCCAACACGTACTTTCAGAAAAGCTTTTATCTTATAAGCACATCAAAGCAAGTAGTCTCAGCACAGGCAGAGGTGAGATCCGGGACTTTTGAGAGTAGTGTTGAGGGTGTTGGAGGTATCAGCTACTCAGGAATCGGTGCAAGAACCTTCAGAAAGCTTTCTGAAACTTAAATTCTGAATTTTGTTTAGTTTTGCCTTCTTGAAGAACATTACATACAGACTCATGTCTAAATAGTGGTGTGGTAGCAGGCCTTCAGAAAACGTTGCCATCAGAGATGAAGGCTCTGCAGCACTGAAACTGATACATTTAAAAAAAAAAATATTTTTTATCACTAACAGGGACCAAAAGGGGATTCAGTTGTCGGACCCAGAGGACCTCCAGGGTTACCTGGCTTACCTGGCTTACCAGGTTATGGAAAAATTGGACCACCTGGACCACCTGGGCCACCTGGACCACCAGGACCCCCAGCAATATATGGCTCAGGTGAGAGAGTATGATTTTTCTTTTCGCTGTACATACAAGTACATAAGCACGTGCCCACACCCCCCCACACACACTGCCAGCTCCTTTACATACCTATGCTTCCATCTGCCCACCTGAATCAGGTTGGTCCCCTCTGTCCTCCTGCCCCCTACCAGTTTCTCCTGGGGGGGTGAGTGTGAACAGGGAGCACAAAAGGGACAATTTCTCCACAAACAGTTTTCACTGACGAGTGCCATGGGAGAACCATTGCATGAAAAACCTTGCTGTGGCTGTGGCTGGGAGGCAGTTGTCCTGGTTTGAGCGACACACGACTAATTTTTCTTCTAACACTTGGGAAAACTGCACTTTTAGAAGACTCTAGTGTCTGAATTTGTGAAAATATTTACTTCATAGCCAGCTAGGCTCTGAGGGTTTCAAGGTCTCAGTGTTTTTGAACCCTGCCAGGTGCAGGGATGAGGAGGAGCGAGACCTGGGCACTTGACCCAAGCTGGACAATAGGATTATTTCGTACCATGAACATCACATTCAATATAAATTAGCACCTTTGCTGAAAAGTTCTCTCTCCCTTGATGGCTGTGATCCTGAGAACTCCATACCCCCATGCCAGACTCCTGAAGCTTTCCCTTCCTCCTGAAGCCATAGGGCTCACAGTGCCCAACATTTGCTGTCCCCTGCTGGGAGTGCACAGCTTCCTACTGATATCATTAGCCAAGTATAATCCTTGTGTATTTTATACTGGTATCAGGTTGTTGTGGGCTCCTCAAACCATAACAGCAGTTTACATAACAGAGACAGGTTGCCTTGAGAGCTTTGCAAAATCTATCAAATTGAGCAGTTGGCTAAATTTAGGAAGATGTTAATGTGGCCCACGATGCTCTTCTTGTGGTGAATTGAGTTAAATCCAGTTGGGGGCCAGTCACAAGTGGTGTTCCCCAGGGCTCAGTATTGGGGTCAGTTCTATTTGTCTTTATCAGAGATCTGGACAAGGGGGTCGAGTGCACCCTCATTAAGTTTGCAGAAGACACCAAGTTGGGCGGGAGTCCTCATTAAGTTTGCAGATGACACCAAGTTGGCCGGGAGTGTTGATCTGCTTGAGGGTTGGATGGCTCTACAGAGGGGTCTGGACAGGCTTGATCGATGGGCCAAGCCAAATGGTATGAGGTCCAACAACGCCAAGTGCCAGGTCCTGCGCTTGGGTCACAAGAACCTCATGCAACGCTACGAGGAGTGTCTCAATGGGAGACCTTATTGCCCTCTACAGCTACCTGAAAGGAGGTTGTAAAGAGGTGGGTGTTGGTTTCTTCTCCCGGGTAGCAAGTGATAGGACAAGACACCTGAAAGGAGGTTGTAAAGAGGTGGGTGTCAGTTTCTTCTCCGGGGTTGCAAGTGATAGGACAAGACAAATAGGCTCAAGTTGCACCAGGGGAGGTTTAGGATGGATATTAGGAAAAATTTTTTCACTGAATGGGTTGGCAAGTGTATTAGGAAAAATTTCTTCACTGAATGGGTTGGCAAGCATTGGAACAGTCTGCCCAGGAAAGTGGTTGAGTCACCATCCCTGAAGGTATTTCAAAGATGTGTTGATGTGGTGCTGAGGGACATGGTTTAGTGGTGGACTTGGTTGTGCTAGGTTAATAATTGGACTTGATATTCTTAAAGGTCTTTTCCAACCCAAATGATCCTGTGATTCTCTGATGTAAAGGCACTACCCACAGCAGAGTTTAGGTCTAGAATGAAATAGCTGGAGAACTGCTTCTAAAAACTATTTGTTACGCAAATACTGAATGGAAACAAAACTTTGGGAGGGCTGGTTACTGTGCCTTTAATGATTTTCAATTTATTGGATTTGAAAAGGAGTAAAATATGCCACAAATCAGGGGAGGAACTTTGCAAACAAGGTGGCACTGGAGCTTCAGGTGGATTCTCTCAAACTTGCATCAAAGGGAATAGGTGGCTATAAACCAAGTATCACAGTTCAAGGCATTTGTGCTTCTGACTCCTCTTGGGTCACAGGTCTGCTGGTGACAAGCCTCATATGGTTAATGTCCAGCTCTTAGACTGAGTTCTGGTGGATGAGGTCCTGGGCTCCTCTGACATTACTCGACAGGTCTGCCTGAGCAAGTGTCTCCCTCTGGGAACTGTGACCAGGATGGGAATCCATCACCGGAGCAAAGCATTCCTTAATCTCAGCTGAAGATGGTGTAGTAACAGAAAGGGAATTGTTAAGTGAACAGAGAGGCTAGAATGCAGACCTGTCCTGCCTAAAAATGAAATAGCTGGAGAACTGCTTCTAAAAACTATTTGTTACGCAAATACTGAATGGAAACAAAACTTTGGGAGGGCTGGTTACTGTGCCTTTAATGATTTTCAATTTATTGGATTTGAAAAGGAGTAAAATATGCCACAAATCAGGGGAGGAACTTTGCAAACAAGGTGGCACTGGAGCTTCAGGTGGATTCTTTCAAACTTGCTATAAACCAAGTATCACAGTTCAAGGCATTTGTGCTTCTGACTCCTCTTGGATCACAGGTCTGCTAGTGACAAGCCTCATATGGGTAATGTCCAGCTCTTAGCCTGAGTTCTGGTGGATGAGGTCCTGGGCTCCTCTGACATTACTCGACAGGTCTGCCCGAGCAAGTGACTCCCTCTGGGAACTGTGACCAGGATGGGAATCCATCACCAGAGCAAAGCATTCCTTAATCTCAGCTGAAGATGGTGTAGTAACAGAAAGGGAATTGTTAAGTGAACAGAGAGGCTAGAATGCAGACCTGTCCTGCCTAAATGTTGGGCAGGTCTAGCTAATACAGATCTCCATGTCTGAGAACTAACGACCAGTCTGTTTCCCCACAAGACCTGTGCCTCCAGTATGCCAGTTTGGGGAGCAGACCTCTCTGTCTCCAATTTGTTCTCTCCAGGTATTTCTTGAACCTGGTCAGACTGGTATGTACAGCTGTCCAGGGACGAGGTGAGACTCCCAATTTGTCATCCAGTAATTATTACAAATTGAGTGTCTATCAGAAGCGCTCATCCTCTGAAGAATATTTAAGAAAGAACAAACCCTTAATATTTTCAACGTTGGAACGTAGGCCTGTACCTGAATTAGCCCCTGATCATCATAGTATGGACAGATCCTGAGCATTCATAAAGTCCATAAAAGCCTTCAGCCCTTTTCCTGTGTAATTTCTATTAAGCACTTCTGAATATTAGCTAAGAGACCCAGACAGACAAAACAAACTATTATTAGTACTGCATCCCTATACATTTGCTTTTCGTCTCTGCCATTAGTCTTCATCATCCTCCTACGCATTTTCCTTTTTGCTTTGTAAGAAGGTTCTCTGGGCAGGACAATGATGGATGTCCATTTCACAAAATGTTATGAACACAGATGTTTGTTTATTTCCTATCTTCAAGGCACAGTTATATCTGTTAAAGTTCTTACTGTAATATGTGGCTCACGTACTGTAATATGGGGAAGGAGGAGTGGTTTATCTGCAGATAAATAGCTCTGAACACTTCTGAGAACTGAACCCCTTTTCCCTGCCATTGACACAAAGGAACTGCTCTGGAGGATCCTTGTAAATGGTTCAGAACATAAATTCTTCCGTTTGTAAAAGGTTATTTCACGGCTCCTCCGGGTTTCACAAAACCAAACATTTTTAACGTTGGAATTTATTTTATTGGTGCATAAGTGCAGCCTCCTAATTCAAGGGGTAGAGATCAGTAAAACACAAGCTCTGGAAAGCAGCAGGGCTCTCAGGGTTAGCCTTTATTGACTCTTCTATGGTTCAATCTATATTTTAAAAACCTATCTTACAATCCTTTATTCAGACTATCAAACTACTTCAGAGTAGAAAGATACAATAAAAGAGAAGACAGTCAATACTTTTTCTTCACTGAATTTATTTACGGGGATGGAGAGGAATCTGTAGCTCCGCTTTCACTGGAGATCTCTGGGATCCTGATCCCTTTGAAAACAGTGAAGGCAGAAGGTATGCTCGTTTGGCTTATCTTCTGTAATTTTCCTCCAGCCCATTTAGTTACTGTATCCAGTAAGCTGTGGATGAGTGGGCTTTGGTTATTGTGGCAAGGGCTACCAGATGTGCTCACCAAAATTTCTCCAAAGGGTGGTTTCAGAGAACATTCCTACATTCCTCCATTTCTGCTTTGCTTTTGAAGAGCAATTCTGTCCATATTTGGAGCACTTTTGGCATAGCTAAGAGCAGCTGTACACTGTGTGCAAGTGTCCAGCAAGGTAGGAACTGGGGAGTGGTTAGGAGCTGAACCTTGGCGTTCTTTGTGCATGTTTCATACTCGAGATTCACCAGCATGCTAGGTAGAACATGCTAGACTTCCCTATGCTCAGTAGTTTGACAGCTATCCACCAACTATTAGATCTCTTGCTTTCATGTCATAATAGCTCTCATGCCTTTCTGTTCCTAATCAGATTTCTTACTGAGGCCTTTGTGTTTCCTCCCAGCAGTGTAGTAGCACACTCTCCCTGACCTGTTTTCTTGCCCTCACTTTACGTCTCTCTTTTCCTCTACAGAAGGAGTTTCAACTTAAGGTTAATACAGGATCTGCCCAGATCTCAGCTACAGAGCCCTGCTGGGGCACACCATGATGCTCAGCAGGGTCTGTGTGTAGAAGCTCTTTCTTCTAAACAGATTCAAAGTTCCATTATCATGGTACACATTTGTATGGGATGCTTGCTTTCAGTCTTCCATATCATTCCTTCTTTCCTTCATTAAAAGAAATGAGTTTTTACTCCAGAGAACGGGGACTTTCAGCTCACAGTGAAGAAATTCAGTTTTGAATTAGATGCATCTAGGTATTAGATGCAATCTTAGAAGTTCACATCACTGCAGAACTCTTTTTTGCTTTGAAATACAAGCTGAGCTTACACTTGTGAATTTTTTATCTAAAGGATAAATTACTTTCAGAGCAAAAAATAGAACTCAAAGCCTATACAGGCAGGAGCTAGTTCTTCCTCTTCCATATGCACATTCTTCCTCTTCCATTAGCAACTAGTAGAAGAATATTCTGGTTAATTTAAGTGGATCTGGTTCTTCATTTGCAGAGTATCTACAACAGATTGCAACCTACTGATCTTAACCTCCCGAGTGACAGAGAAAAGACTAAGTTTCACCATTGCTTTCAAAAAAATCCTTAGAATCCTTAGTTGGCTTGAACACGGTTATTCATGACTTGACTAAATCTCCCCCTACTCCTAGACACCACCACTAGGTTGTTTCTTTATGTCACTCACCTTCTTTCTCAAAAAAGATGACCTTCAACATGTATTGTATGCTTGTTTTATTTTAGCAGCCGCAATGCCTGGGCCACCAGGACCTCCTGGAGAGCCAGGGTCACCTGCAACCAGGAACCTGGTAAGACAGCAAAAGAAGGAAGTTTGCTGTTGAAACCTTGCTTCAAATCTTTTGGTGGTCATTGGTAGCACGGAGAGAGGAGGGAAAGCTCTGGCCTGTGCTTTTATTTATTAGAATGTTTTCTGAACCTAATAATTTTTCAGCAGGGAATCCTTATAGCTGGGAAAAGTGACGAGAGGAAAAGTCTGTCCGTTGCCTTGTTAGTATTCAAACAAATGCAAATACTGATGGCACGCTGAAATAATGAAAGCTGCATATTCCATGTTGAAAGCAATGTCTCTGGAACCAGAGTGTGGCAACTCAGCAAGCTGAAATACTAGAATAACTACTGAATGCCCAGTTTCCATGAAAAAACCACTTTACATTACTGGATTAAAACCCATTAATATGGGCCATTTGGTTCTAAGAAGAAAACTGTAGATTTCCCTAACAAATCTAAAAATTGTTGTGCAGCGAATAAATATAAATGTAATCATTTCCTTTTCTTATGAATCAAATCAGAATTGTATTCTAGATATCCGTGCAGAAAAAAATGACACCCAATTTTGTTAATTTCTGAATTAAATAGTCATGGTTTCTGGGGGAAAAAAATTATTCAAGCTAGCAGAGGGGGTTTATGGAAGTTTTTCTTTTTCCACATTCTCACATTATGATAGAAAAGTGAATTTGCTGGATTTTTTTGGCAATCGTTTAAGAACACACTAATAAACAAGAAGACTTTCAGATCATTTACATCATCATATCAAATGAACTAACACAAATCTGAGTGTGAGTTTCTTAATGCCTTCCCACCACAGTGTCATGCCTCTGCTAACTGCCTTTTCTCATAAAAATTCAGGACCTGACAATGATTACAGATCAGGGGAGAAATGGATGTTCAAAGACTGGTGCCCCGAGGTAGAGGACTGTAGTTACAGGCTGGGAGCTACTGGCTTAGATAGGAGATCCAAGCCCACTTGGGTCAAAACCAACATTAAAAAACACTATGCAAATCTATAGTAGGGTCTGCGTGATTTGTAAAGCATTTGTGTGCCTTCTGATGCTGAAGAAATGAAAAAGAAATGACAACCAAGTGTCAAGAAATGACACTTTTAAGAAACTTGCCCCTGATTTTACACTAACTGCAACTATCAAACAGATTGTAGAAGCAACCCGTCTTTGAGAGGACTATGTTCTTATCTTCAGGTGACAAAGACAGAAGTAATAGCTGCACTGTCCATATCTGACAGATGTCAGTTTAAGCCTCCCGATGATCTATAAAAGATAAATTGAAAAATACTTGCTGTGTAAACTAGCAGCATCTGGAAATAACAGAAGGGATGGAAGAAAACACCATTAAAGAAAAAAAAAGATCACAAGGCCACTCAGAAAAATATAAGAGGAGTGAATGCATCTAGAATTGTGTGTGATATTTATAAGCCTTATGAAATATCTTCTGAACTCTGCCATTTTGATCTAGTATGTTAAACTATAGAGATGCAAAGATCTTCTCTCTGAGCAGAATTAACTAGTGGTGTAGTTCTACTACAGTCCACAGAATGATGATGCTGATGTGCCAAAGTAATGAGATATTTAGATTACTGAAGTTCTTTATACGAAATAATGTAAAACCGACTTTATGAGCATTTCCTGCAGAAGCAGCCTTGATATTTTATATTTTATATTTATATATTTATATTTTATGTTCAAATGAGAGTTCAATTTAACAATTTAACATAAAAAATATTTTGTGTGTCTGATGAAGTGTGTTTCGTTTTCCTGTTTGACAGGTTACGACATTCCACAACATTGAGGGTATGTTGGAAAGAGTTCATTTGGTAGCAGAAGGTACGCTAATCTATCTGAGTGAAACCAGTGAGGTTTTCATCCGAGTTCGAAATGGATGGAGAAAACTGCAGGTACTTCCGCACTACATCCTCATCCCTTCCAGCTCCCTTACTCAAAATGGAGTTGTTACAGACGTTTTTTACGGGGGTGGAGAAGTGTGGGTGCAAAGATTCCTTTTTTAAGTTCAGAAGGTCCTGGTGATATGGTTTTGTTTGCTTTTTCCTTTTGGGTTCTTTCAGCTTGGTGAGCTAATTCCTATCCCAGCCGACAGCCTTCCTCCTCCAGCTCTATCAAGCCATGTAAGTACAAAATACTGGACTGTGAAAAACTGAGTCTAAATGTGCAAAAACAGGCAATTCACTTGGCAGAAGTTGCAGGCAGATCCCTGCACAACATAATTTTCTGCTGAGACTTGTTAGTTCAAAATAAGCATCCTGCCATAACATAAGCTTGCAAATTGGTTCATGCTGACCAGTCACAGAATCACAGAATGACAGAATCACAGAATGATATGGGGTTGGAAGGGACCTCTGGAGATCATCTCGTCCAACCCCCCTGCCAAAGCAGGGCCACCCAGAGCAGGTTGCACAGGAACGTGTCCAGGTGGGTTAGGAATGTCTCCAGAGAAGGAGACTCTACCACCTCCCTGGGCAGCCTGTTCCAGGGCTCTGCCACCCTCAAAGTGAAGAAGTTCCTCCTCCTCATGTTTATATGGAACTTCTTATGTTCAAGTTTGTGCCCGTTACCTTTTGTCCTGTCACTGGGCACCACTGAAAAAGACTGACCCCACCCGCCTGACACCCACCCTTTAAGTATTTATAGGTGTTGATCAGATCTCCCTTCAGTCTTCTCTTCCCCAGACTAAAAAGACCCAAGTCCCTCAGCCTTTAAGTCCCTCAGTTGTCTGTTTCCATTATCTTGTGAGACTCTAAACACTACAGAGACAAAGCAGCATCTACAAAAAATAGGACAAAGCAGGCTGCCTACAAAAAAAAAAAAACAAACCCCAAACAGAATAGTATTCTGTTTCGTAACACTGAAGTCAGTCGTATCAAGCCCTGGTCCCTTTCAAAGAAACTCAGGAAAGTGTTTCTGAATAGCAGGATTTTTTTAAGAGATTATAGTCCTGTATTCAGGCTACACCATCATCACCTGCATGTAGCTCACCCCGCGGTGTGCTGAGGGTCTACTCTAAAGCCTCAATTGTTAGTTTTTACCTGACCCCATTCTGCAAGTTATTGTACCAACCTGCATGAGAACATACTGTCTGTCCAAAGAAATTGCAGGAGGATGACAACCAAGAAGTGAGGAAAGGGGATAGAGAACGGTCTCATTGATGACAGGTTAATTGATGTGATTGCTGAGATAATGAAAGGACAAGAGAATGCTAGGAAGGAGCAGTGGGAAGGAAGATGGCTGGAAATAAATAAAGAAAAAGTTAGAGTGAGTCAGAGCATTTAGCACGCTGGGAAGATGTCTAGGCCTCCTGTTATAAGAAATTGTCTGTAGCCTCCAGCTGACATCCCGTGAGTTTCCCAACTGGTCCGGTCAGTGGCTTGTTACTCATACTTACCATAAGTAGAGGAGAAAACTTTGCTGTTCCTGAAACAGATCTGAAGATCGTCGACCTTCTGGTCTCTGCGTGTCAGTCGCTTAGGAAGGGGAATTACTGGGGCCTTGAGAAATATTCCCACCCGCTACATTTTCTCTTTCCACATCCTCCTTATCCTTTCAGTTTCAATTTTTCTGGACTGGTGTCTTCTGCTCCTGCCAAGAGCAGAAGCACTGTGGACTAGGTATTCTCAGGTCTAGCAAAGCAGCTCTGGCTGGGACAGCTTTCCAACACATACTTACGTGACACACCGAATCAATGGGAGTTGGACTAGATGATCTCTATGGTCCCTTCCAACTCTAAAAATTCAGTGAAAATTCAGTGAAATGATATGTAGGTGGAGTATTCTGGCTTTGGTATTATTTATTTTTCAGAGACAAGACCATTTCAGATTCTCCATTGTTCTATGTTTGCTTTATTTAGAGAATTATTGGGAGTCTAAAATTCTGATCTGCGTAATGTGTTTAACGTATCTCTTTGCATGTGTTAAATCAACAGGGTTTTCAGTCTCTTCCAGCACTGAGTCCAGTATCAAATATGAACAATAGAAAACCAGCAGTAAGTATGACATCTGCATGGCAACTGCATAGCTGTGGTTTGAAGCGTGACAGTTTGCATCTTGAGGGAGATTTGTGATAATTCCTCTTCAAATTCACAGTTTTTACTTTAGAAATTTACAAATACACTTCTTTAACTGGTTTAGACATCTCCAAGACAATTTTAAATTGTTTCCTCCAGATCTGTTTTCATGATCCTATCCCCTTTCTCATTCAAAGAAAAGAAAAAAAAATCCTGATTCTGAGTTAGGAATACCTCTTCACTCAATGATTGTACTTACAACACACAGTAGTTTTTAAGTTAACCATAGTGTTACAATTATATCATTAAAATAGTCACTAGAATATTTTCTGTCTTTGTGGTGCTGCATGTTTTCGATAGACACTTTAGAATCTAAGCCTTTATTTAAAATACTTAAAAATATTTAGACAAAGAAAGAACGGTAACTGAGTTATATCTAAACCCTCCCCGCCTCCCCCCAAAAAGAAAAACCTAAAAAAACCAAAAAATATGGATTAGTTCTTGCATCTGTACTGTTTTACTTAAGCATGCTGCTTCTTGTGTTAGATAAGAGTGCATTGTTAAGTGTTGTGTGCTCACTTCTTACTCACTCTTCCATGCTTCTAGGATTTGGGATTTTATTTCTGTGGTAACTCCAAGGCTTCTGCTTAAAAACATTAGCTGCTTTTAAAAGGATTTTATTTTTTAGGAGTATATAACCTTCATGGTTTCCTTAATGTTCAAAGCTAAATAGGTATTTCTGCTGTGGGTCTCATAGCTTTAAGGAGTGTAATGTTATGGCAGCAAATAACTTTCATACCTGGTATGGAAGGTACTAGCTCTTGTGCTGGCAGGAGGAGGGAGGGTCTAGTTTGTGTCAAATATATGTCAAATATTAAAAATATTTAAAAAATAATGCCTTTTCTTCTTATTTTCTCCAGCTGCATCTGGTGGCTTTAAACTCACCGTTTTCTGGTGACGTGCGAGCAGATTTTCAGTGTTTTCAACAGGCCCAACTGGCGGGTTTGACATCTACCTACAGAGCCTTCCTCTCATCACATTTGCAAGATCTGGCCACGGTCGTCAGAAAAACAGACCGATACCATTTACCAGTAGTCAATCTTAAGGTAAAAAAATGAGTACTTAGTACTTGCTGTATTAGGATAGGCTGTAGATGCCCAAAAAAAGATTCAGATTAGATCTCAGGAAGAAATTTTTTACTGAGGGTGGTGAGACACTGGAACAGGTTGCCCAGAGAAGCTGTGGCTGCCCCATCCCTGGAGGGGTTCAAGGCCAGGCTGGATGGGGCTTGGAGCAACCTGGTCTGGTGGGAGGTGTCCCTGCCCAGGGCAGGGGGTTGGAACTCGATGATCTTTGAGGTTCTTTCCAACCCCAACCATTCTATGATTCTAAAATCTTGAAAAATGCCAGAGCAGAAAGTTTCAACCCAAACTGCATTTTATAAAGGAGCACCTTTGCTTATATTCTGGAGTCAGGTTCAAGAAACGAACTTGTAGCTATAAAATAGAAAGTTACAGACTGCCTCACACTCCCTTTCCATTTTCAAGGGTTGCTTTTTTATTCCATACCCTAAGGCTAATGGTAGAAATAAATCTGTGAGAATAGCCTGCTTGGAGCAGGCTGCTGGCAAAGCAGCAGTGTGATGTTGGGCTTTCTGGATATTTTTTGTGTCAGCAGGGAAAGTTTTCATTTCTCAAAGACAGCTAATAGGTTCTACCTTCTAGTAGGATCACAGAGTACGCGGGAGGCTAAAATACCTGTTTTCCTCATTTCTAAAGATAAAGGCAAATTCCGTGCTTAGGAGCGATGCTGGATTTACCCCAGTGAAGCTGAGAGGCGAGTCTAGAGCTGTGAGTCATTTCTGTGGTCTCACGTAAACAGATACACTGTAAAACTGAGGAAAACAAACCCTGTCTCTGTGGCGTTGGCTGGCGCCCAGAACCGACGGCCAAAGAAACCTACAGGAATAACACGTGGTGCTTGGAACGCGCAGAAACGGATGCTGCGCTGAAGTGCATGCAAATCCAGAGCCTTGGAGACAAACTTGGAAAGACAATATTGTTTCAGCTTGGGCTGGAAAAACTCGAGAGCAGTTGGAGGGGTCGCCTGATGCTTTTTGACTTGAATATTTTCAATTTTGACTTGAATATTTGCAACGCTTTTCACAAAACGGTGACCTCAGCAGAAGTTCCAATACAAATTATCTCTCTGTTTTCTCTATAGCTACAGTAGTTCTAAAGTAGTAGTTCTAAAAGCAATTTTTCCAACAGCTTCCTTAGACAGTTAGGAGGAAAAGGGCAGTGGAAGTGGACATGATCAAGCTGAATCTTTGGAGTGACAAGAGAATGGAGATGCAACTGTGAGGCAAAGGCATGGATCAGAGAGCTCTTAGCACAGAGATGATAGATGAGACAAGTTTGTTCAGGGCATTCATGCAGAAACTGATGTGAAAGTTGGGATCTTAAGTGTTCTCAAATGCAGATAAGATTTCGGATGCGTAGATAAGTCTACACAAGTCAAGTATAACGTGGATTTTGGATTTGTTTTGTTTGTAAAAAATTTGTGGATTTGTTTTTGTTTGACGTTTTGACAGGGAGAAACACTTTTCAATAACTGGGAATCCATATTTAATGGAAATGGTGGACAATTCAACACTCATGTTCCAATATACTCCTTTGATGGGAGGAACGTCATGACTGACCCATTTTGGTGAGTTTACATTACCCTTTATAAGTTTTACATGACATTTACCAGATTGTAGAAGTAGCAATATCTTGGCCTACTAAAAATATGATAAAAATTTCTCCCTTATTCCATCTTTCTTTTCCATTTCTGATAACATGTGAATGGGTTATCAGGTTCTGTGCTCCTTTTCTTCCTCTCCTTTCTTTGTTCATCTTTCCCTACCCGCTGTTTGCTTCAAGCTTCAAGCAGAAATACAGGTCACCATACCTATAGGTGTGCAGCTGAATAAAGCAAAAAAAAAGAAAAAAAAGATACTTTTTCAGGAAATAACTTCTTAATGTTACCTTTCAGGCCTCAAAAAGTAATATGGCATGGTTCAACTGCAAATGGGATCCGACTGGTTAGCAACTACTGTGAAGCCTGGCACACAGCTGCCATGGGAGCTATGGGACAAGCGTCACCGCTGAAGACGGGGAAGCTTCTTGATCAGCAAGTGTTTAGCTGTAGTAATAAGTTTATTGTTCTCTGCATTGAAAACAGTTTTGTATCTGATCCCCAAGGAAAATAATTCACCCGCTGCACAGAGGAATACTCCGTTTTTGTAACAGGAACAGCTGACACTGAAATTTCATTCGTAACGTTGTAAATATTTTATTTTTTCGTAATTGCACATTTCAGGAAAAAAACAGCCAAGGAAAACATACCTCAACGCGAATCACCTTCCAGTCAGGTGGAACATCCAGCGCACGTGGGGCTGACTTCAAGCCCTTCCTTTCTCTTGAACCCCACGTGGTTCAAAGTTTGCCAACAGTTAACTCACAGCCCCTTGTTCTTTCTGGCTGAGCTTAAGATCGCGTAAGGGCACGAGTCGAGCGTGGTCTGCGAGGAAAAACCTGCAGCAGTAGAAAATCTCATGTGCAGTGCAGCTCAGCAAGGCTGCTGCTTCTTCACAGCTGAGAAGCTGCACGCTCTATGCTCTTCTTTTCACTTGCATAGGTTCTGAATACCCAAGGCACTATTCATATATATATATATGTATATATACATACTGGCCCCGAGCAAATAATGGGAGGCTGTTACATCTTACAGGGGCTGGAATTTTCAAAAAGGCTTTAAGAACAAAGGTGCTCACCTCCTTTGAGTTTCAGTGAAGCTGAGTACCTAACTCCTGTAAGGCTCTAAGTATGGATCCTGTGAGTACGGATCGCAGCCTGGTGCTTACACATCAATTTAGCAGCTTCCACATCTTACTTCAGCTTTTTTCTTTGCAGATTCTAGGCGTAGGGCTTTACGCAGGAGGAGTGAATTTCACCTAGGCAAAATCTGGTCCTTATTTTGGTGCTATTGTTACCAGGAAACCTGAAGCAATGTTAATAGAAAACATCCTGTTTTACTGGTAGAACTGTGCAAAGTAAATGCAGACAAACCAACCATCTGACCTTTATTTATTTCCTTGCGTATTAGAGGAAGTCATTTCCTGTCGTGGCAGGCTGCTGAATAAAAGATGTCTGTCATGGCTTCTCTAAAATAGGTTCTAGCCGTTGTTATCCCACTAAGTTATATGTAAAGTGATTTTTTTTGTGAATTTATCCTTCTGGCATTCACATAATTAAAGAAGTGTTAATATAAAATAACAGCAGCAATGATAGGAATGATCAGTAAATGCTAATACTCTTTGCAAACGGTATCACCGTAATATCTGAAGCCTTTGCCTATATATTTGTCTACTGCATACTTTAAACAACATATTTACTTGTATTTTATCAAGCAGTAACTATGGAGGTCAAGCAGCACATTATCATCTTTTAAGATTTAATCTAGAGTCTGTGTTGGAAATACATGTTTGCTAACAAATAATAGATAGCAACCTTCAAAAGACAAAAGCGAATCACACTTAGTATACAAAACTGATATAATTATGTAACATAATATTGTGAAATTCAGCTTTATTTTTCCAGTTTACTGTACAAGCTTATTTCCCAGGGTCATCTGAATCATATCTTCTTTTTTTTTTTTCTTGGACAAGTCATGACTCCATTATTGCAACACGGTCATGAGGCAAAACCGGTTTATATTACATGTAAAATGTATGCATAACTGTTCACTGTACTCATTTATAGTCCATTGCCCTAAAATGCTGAGTGCTCTTGTGAAATGCCAAATTCCTTCAGTTCACACAGTTGGAAGAGCTTGAGATGTACGGCAGGGTTTCACTCTGAGTCACAGAAGGTTCAAGGGG